TTTTGCTAAATAAAACCTCACAGGACCACTCCTATACCTCCAAGGAGGGCAGTTATCCAAGAGGACAAGGTTGGACCCTGGAACCAAGGAATCATCTTGTAGGAACCAGACTGATCTCAAAGAAATGGCAGCTGAGAGGGATGTACTGGACATGGATGTCTTCAGAACTGAGAAATGGATGAAGACTGCAATTTACAAAACAATGGGTGGAACCACTACTTGATAAGATTTGCTCATGTCTCTTGCTCCTTGTTCCACTTAAATCTAAAGCCATGGTTTTCTTGGTTCACATTTCATAACTGCTTTATTTAAACCCCAGCGACTTATTTCAACTCTACTGAGACACCATGTATGATAATTTAAATGATCCCCAGGAGCTCATATATTTGAATACTTGGTCTGCAGTTGGTGGAACTGTTTGGGAAGGATTGGGAGGTATGGCCTTGTTGGAGGTATGTGATGGGGTGGACTTGGAGGCTTCCCACTGTCCTCTCTGCCTGCTGATTTCAAATCAAGATGTGAGCTCTTTGTGCAGCTAGGCCTTAGTTCCTCCATCATGGACTCTTAACTCTCTGAAACTGTAAGCCTAACTGAACACTTTCATAATAAGTTGCCTTGGTTGTAACACGAATTAATAAATGACCCAGAAATGGATATTGCTGATATTGGGGTTCAAGCTTCAAGCTGAATATCAGAAAAGCAAAGCAGCTGGCCACTAGCTTCTTACCTCTACCTCAGACTAAAAGGGCTGATCCTGTCTCATGAATTCTCGCCAAGCCTCAGACTGTAACTTCTCCTCAGCGTGGCTGGAGAATGAATGCCTCATACTGGCTCCTGATACTGACTTATATACCTCTTGTGACTCCTGGGGTTAAAGGCGTGCACTATAATTCTCTTTTCCATTAATCCACTCTTGTGTAGATCTGGGTGGCCTTGAACTCAGAGAGATCTGTCCATCTCTTAATCCTGAGTCCTAGGATCTCTATTAACTTGAGGCTGACTTTGCTTTTCTGAATCCTCAGTCAAGCTTTAATAAATCATAAATGATATATCACTACACTTGATCATAGTGTTTTGTCACAGCAATCAAAAATTAACTAAGACACCATGTGATGGCATTTATGTCCTGTAAAAGAAAGAGTTCTCTGTAAGACCTGACACTCAAGTTCTTTCCTGGCCACAGCCTTCTCTATCACATTAGTTAAGCTTATCTTTATCCTTGGTGTAACTATCAGGATTTTTCACCCCATGTTTTCCCTGACCTCCATGCCTCCCTCTCCAGTCTCAATCCCATGAACCTCCATGACAAATAGGTTGTAACAGTAAACTGATGACCTCTCACTCCTGCCTTGGCTGTGAATCAGATTTCAAGTGACATGCACTAGCCCATCTGACCTGTCTCCAGTGCCACCTCTCCCTAACCCTTCCCTTCTGTCCCCTTAAAGGCACTGCTCTCATAAACACCAGTAACATTTATGCCTCCTGTAATGAACATCTTCATAATTTTGCTACATGCCTGCCTAGCCTCAGACTTATCCCTAGGAGAGCAGTGCCCACACCAGACCTCTGTGCTCCCCATGTCTAGCCTGTGTCTGTAGAAGAACCCATCACAGCTCAGTTTGGGTGAGTGGACAGTTTTTGTTTGGGTAAAAGGAAATTGGGTGTTGTGGTTTGAAAGAAAATGGCCCTCAAAGTGGCAGTAACGGGAGGTGTGGCCTTGCCTGAGGAAATGTGTCACTGTGAGGGAAGGCTTTGAGGTCTCTTGCTCATGCTCCCCTCAGTGTGACAGTCAGTCGAATTCCCGTTGCCTGCAAGATGTAGGACACTCAGCTATTCCTCCATCTGCCACATCTGCCTGTCACGATAATGGACTGAACCTCTGAAACTGCAAGTGAGACACCCTAATTAAATGTTTCCTTTATAAGAGTTGCCATGGTGACTCTTCACAGTAATAATAACTCTAAGACAGGTGTTCACTTGTGATAGCTAATATTAGTTGTCAACTTGACACTCTTGGAATGAGGGAACCTCAATGAGAAAGTTCCCCCATCAAGTTGGCCTGTGGTCAAGCCTGTAGAGGTAGAGGTAAGAATGATAAGCATTCTTAGGCAGGTGGGCCTGGGCTGTATAATACCCTAGGAAAAAGCCTGTAAGCAGCATCTCTGGAGGTTCCTACCCTGCCTGAGTTCCTGCCCTGACATCCTCACTGATGGACTTGTAACCTGTAAGATAAAATAAATCTGTTTCTACCCAGACTGGTTTTAATTAATTTATTTTTTTTACATTCCATCCCCAGACTGTTTTGCTTATGGTGTTTATCACAGTAACAGAAAGCAAACTAGAACAGCACTCATCACTTTGGGCTGACAGTATTCAAATTTTTAAATTGCACATAACAAGAAAAGAGAAAACAAAGACAGGGCATGATGGCACATATCAGTAACCAGTATTTGGGATGCTTCTAAGACAGGACTAGGAATTCAGTGCTGTCTTCAGCTACACAGCAAGTTCGAAGTCAGCCTGGACTCACTCTCTCTCTCTCTCTCTCTCTCTCTCTCTCTCCCTCTCTCTGTGATCTTGACTCAAAAAGGCAAAAGCAAACGAAGAATAGGGGGAAAAAAAAGACTGAGGGGGAAATGTATACATTTTCTTCCACTCTTCTCTTTTCTTCTTTCAAGTGTGCATGTCAGAGTCAGGTTTGGGGCAGATGGTTTCTGGAAAGCCAGAGGGATATTCTGCCAGCATCCAGGGACACACTGTTAACAGATTTCCTTTGGCAGTGACCATATCTTGGCTAAGAAATGAAAACGCTCTGTGCAGAAGGGAGAGAATGCATTCTTTTCTTGTGTACAGGAGAGGAAAGGCATCCCTTCCATTGCCAGTCCTGTGGCACTGGCTTTAGGAGTAAAGTCCTCAGTGCTCTACAAGCCATAATAGAAGGTCTGCTCCACAGAGGTCAACAGCTTATGCCTCCTCTCCACGTGGGAGTTCACGGCTCAGTTTCTTTGGGTAGACAGTGATGCTGAGAAGGGCCTGTGGCAATAGTCCAGTATCCGAGGAAGCAAAAGTTGCCTAGACAAGCCAGCATCCATTAAGGAGGCCTTGGCCAGGGAGTACACAACAGCCTTTGAGAAGCCAAGTCCAAAGTCAGAGATAATACAAGGAAAAGAGGGTGTTGGCTACTGGACAATTTACCACAATAAAGCCAATTCACTTCCTAGTGAAGCTTTGGGAAAAATGGCTGGCTCTTGAGGCTAGGTCTGTGCCTGGGATGCGTTTCTGCATTGTGGGCCTGATCTTTTCAAGCCCCCTTTGACAAGAACATGTTTGTTGCTTTGATACAATGTCTCTGATAGCCCTAGCTGGCTTCAAACTTACCACGGATCTGACAACAACCTTACACTGTTGATCTTCCTGTCTCCACCTCCTGTGCTGTTACAGACATGCACCAGATAAGAGGCACTGTCCCAAGCAGTGGGTATAGTGGATTTCACTTGTAGTTGGGCTTGCTTTTCACCATGGGCCCTTCTGGATCTATCCTGAGTTCCCAAGGACTACATTACTACCTTTTGGCTATCTCTTGGGTTCAACCAGGAGCCCATCCAGTGTGTGGAGCCTAGCCCTCTAGGGAGGGGCCTGGTTTGTGTGGTCACTCTTGTGAGGTACCTGTCTCCTTGGCTCAGATCCTTCACTGCCCTCAGGCTTAGCTGCAGCTGCTTTGTGTTCTTGTCCCCAGTATCTAGCACCCCCCCCCCCCTTTTCCTTCTCTTGAGCCTGCCCAATCTTCTGTAGAACCTTCCCTAAGCTGTTTTCCTAAACCTGGTAGCTGTTTCTGGTTGAGCCACAACCAGTTGCTACAGGCTCCTTCTCCTCTTGAATAAAAGCCAAACCATAAAGAATGGCTTCAAAAGCCTCATTCAAGCCTATGCATCTGAAATCTTTACTTTTATTGTCATCAATAAAGAAATTGCTGCAGTCCACCTACCTTCTTTTACCTAAAACACACACACACACACACACACACACACACACACACACACACACACACACGGTGTGGTGACACTGTAAATCAAGCACTCAGAGGGTTCAAGGCCAGCCTGAGATATACAGTGAGATTGTCTAAGAAACAAACTCCTTTCTAATGTATCATTTGGCTAGAGACAGTTTTATATTAAAATGCTGGTGCTCCTCCCACGATGGCTTTAACACAAGAAGCCTCCAGCAGGCTTCAGGACACCCCTCACAGGTCCTACTGAGGATTAGGAGTAGGGAGACGGTTTTCCTTAATTTTCTCTAAGTTGGTAGCCTTGTCCTTTCTCCAGCTTCAACACAGTCCCTCCTGCTCACCCAAGGGACACCCGTGGGCCTCACCAGCTGGGTTGCAGGCTTGCCCGGGAAGAGTGGTACTGTGGTTTCTGTGATGCTCTCTCTCAGCAGAGGGGCTGAGGAGGTGGTGGTCCCCCCAACCCCCCACCCCTGACACTGGTGCATGCCTGAGTGGCAGCCTGGGGGTTCTGAGCTGTGCCAATCTGTGTCGCTGTATTACACCAGCACAGTTCTCAGGACCCCCACTATCCACACTTCCTTCTGGAAAATCCTGTTTTATACAACTCTACCAGCCTTTTTTTGAGATAACTTCCTCTTGGGTTTGGGGACTACCAGAGTCATAAGTATAAAGGATGGCCATTCCCAGGAAGTCTGAACTTCAGAGTGTTCCTCCACCGTGCCACACTACTAGGGCTAACTTCAAGCATGCCCACCACCTGTAAAATCTAACAGACTCCAGAGGGGGGTATGGGACTACTCACTCATTTGTGCTAAATGCTCAGTTGTTGGCTGTGACAAGATCTGGGTACCTTGGTTAAGAGGCTATAAAGGCAGTGTGGAAAGACAGGGCACAGAGGCCTGCAGCCCATTTTACACTGTAGCCCTTCCACCCAGGGTTACAATTACACTCACAACCTTTCAGAAGTCTAACACTGGGAACAAAAACTGAGAGCTACCACACAGAACAGTCTTTTATTTTCAGAGCAGAGTCACAGCTGTGCTGGCAGTTCCGACTCCCTCCTGTCCAAGAGAGGCCAGCCTCAAGGGTACTTCCAGCTCCAGGTGCAAGCAGAAGCAATGTTCCCCTACAGAGGGCTTGAGAGCTGCCAGCTCGAGCAGCTCCCACAGTGGGCGATCTGCAGGATCCATCTGGAGTCCAGACTTTAGGTCAGGTTCAAGTGCAGGCTTCCTTCCCATCACAGCCTTCGAGCCTTCCGGGGCCGGCAGCCGTTGTGTGGGACAGGGGTGTTGTCTGTGATTGAGATCACTTCCAGACCCCCCATGGTCAGTCCTTTGATGGCAGACTGGAAGGATCAGAAACAGGCGGATGGAATGGTCTCCAAAATGATGATGACCCAGCATCTCCAGATAGGGTCAAAGAGGGAGGGAAGGCCACTGGCTGATAAGCTACAATTCCAGCCCCTGCTGCCTCCACTTTGTGCTTTACTGTCTGGGAAGAGGCTTGACCCCTGCTCTCCCAGCTTTACACGAGCATTTTCCTCTCCCGGGGAGACACACACACACACACACACACACACACACACACACACACACACACACACACACCCAATGCCTCATTCTTGCAAAGTCAGAGAGATATCGCCTCCTAGCCCCAGCGTCTCAGGGTCCCCCTGACAGCTCCCAGCACCTTTGTCTACACTTCTCCATTGTATCCACTAGTCTGTGCTGAGGGTCTGTCTGTGAGGGTCCCCCAGTGACCACTTTTCTATTCCCAGGACTGGCCCAGAGCAGGCACTCAAGAAACTACATGATCTAGGCTTCTCTGAGGGTCTCAGCTGATTGTAGGAGTGGAAAGGAAGTAAGTGGGACATTCATTTAAGGGGACATTAGACTCTCCACAGCTGGCTCTAAACAACATGCACACATGCTGTGGACAACTCAGTTACTTACCCAGCGTCCTGGTCCCATGCCTTTCACTACAACTCGGATGTGAGTCACTCCCTTTCCTGTGGCTTTCTGGAGAGAAACAAGTGGTCAGTGGCCCCGTGACAGGATGGCTGCATCCCAACAATCTCTGGTTATTGTCTCCAGGAGACATGGGGTAACGGCAACAACAGAAGTAAACATGGAGGCAGAAAACAGAAAGATGCAAAGCACAGATGGTGGTAGTGGACGTGGACACCAGTACAGTCTGGCAAACAGAGCCAAGGAACTAAGGTGACAGAACTGCACTGCCACCTAATGGACACTTCTAGATATTGCCTGATTTTTCTCTAAATGCAGACTCAGCAGGGTGAGCCTGACTGAATGCCCACTTCTAAAGTGGGTTTTAGTTATCTATCTTTAGAGTGAAGTATGTGTCCAGATTATAAACACATTCATTATGGGTCCTGGAAAATACCCACACTCACTCGAAACCTACCATGCAGAGGTCCTACAAATACTGACATGTGTCTCTTGACTGAATGTCTTCTTGTGGGCAATTACATCATTGGAGGTTTTGATGATCACTACCATATAGTAATTAATAGTTTTCATAAGTCTGGCTATAAAGGTCAAGGTGTTCCTTCAGGAATATTCCTGTTTGTCAGAGGTCTCTTCTAAAGGAGGAAACATGCAGCTCTGATCCAAGGCCAATCTGGGTTCACATCAGATAGCTGAACTGGCTGCTTGGCTTTGACCAATCCCACACAATCTGATTCTTTTGAAAGAGCAGGTAATAGCAGGGTCTTCTGAAGACACCATAATAATGAGTGAACTATCTGAAATGCAGTTAACTAATTTGCCTCTAAAAATATCTGCAACATTTAACTTGGGGCCTTGTGCTGTAAGACATGCTCCCTGCATAAAATACAATGCCCACGCTGTCCCACCGGTCTTTAATGGAAGGAGCTTTGGTTCCTAAGCCTTCAGGATTCTGGTTTTTCCTCTGAGCACAGACGACATCTTTTTCCTTTCTTGAAGCTGAGAGAGCTGCTAACCCTTCTACAAAGGCCTCTTAATCAGCTGGCGACATCTAATAGCTAACAGGTAGGCAAAGACCTCCCTGTTTCTGAATCTGGTTTAATGAGAACTCTCCACCATCAGCCACAAGGAATACACAACAATGTGGTCAGGTACTTACTGCTGCCGCTGCAATGCCTGCTGTCTGTGCTGCGATGCCGGTGCCCTTCTTGGCATTGCGAAAGCCTTCTGTACCACAGGAGGCACGGGCCAGGGACACATTAGTGGCAGACACTACCTGGATCTGTGTGCTTGGAAAAAGAGGCATATAGCTCTACTACTGCTCAGGGAAGGGAGGGGGCTTGCTGCCATCCTTAGAAGCACAAATGAGAAGGAAAAGGAGGACACTAGCTTCCTCCCCTATGTTAAAGGAAGGACCAATAAGGACACACTTCCGCCTCAAGCCTTCTCCGAGGTTAATATCCTTGTCTTGTGTTTTATAAAAATCTAGATGTTTTACATTAGGTAACTTAAAAAAAAGACAACATTGGAAAGTTCCAAGTATCTTCCACTACAACAGTGAAAAGAACAGTATGTGAGGGTTAGCTTCATGGTTACATGGTAAAAGGAGAGAACTAATTCGTGCAAATTGTTCTCTGATCTCCATGTGGTTATGCTCCATTCCCAACAGATAAGTAAAAATAAAATAATTTTAAAAAGTACATGATAGCTGGAGAGATAGCCCAATGGTTCCGAACACTAGCTGGTCTCCCAGAGGTCCTGAGTTCAGTTCCCAGTACAACCATCTGTAATGAGATCTGGTGCTCTCTCCTGGCATACATACAGGCAGAATGCTGTATACATAATAAATAAATCTCTTTAAAAGAAAAGTATACAAATGAATGCCCAGAGACCTGTTGTCTCACTCTGTTCCAACAATAACCAACTCACATCCAATATAGTGTCACCTCTAAACCCTGTCCCCACCCCTGCATCAAAGGACTGTTTTGAAGTGAATCTAAGATCTATCATTTCAGTGTCTAGGTCTAAAAGACAAAGATGCATTAAAAAAAGAAAAAAATCCCATAAAACCATTTGTCATGACAATATTATTACAGTGGATGATTTAAATACTTATGACACTATTTTGGGATCAAAAATTATTTTAAATAAGTGAAACTTTCCTAATTTGCAGAGCTTTCTGGGTGCTCACAGGAGGGGGAAGTGAAGGAGGTGCTGTACAGGAGACCCTGCTGGGTCAGCCCTGGCACCTGCTTGTAGCCTTGTTATGGCTGTCATCCTCTCCAAGGGCTTCTTGTATTTCCTACACTGGACAGAACATTCTGATGCAGGGTGGATTGAAAAGGCCACAGACACAACAACAACAAAGAGAGCATAGAGGTTACATCTGCCTCAGCTCAAGAGGAGATGGGAGACACAGCTGTGGACCCTGTAGCACCTCTGTGCTACACACTCTAGGCCAGAACTATAGTCTCTGGCACGTACTCCAACTGTGTGGCAGGCAGGCTGTGACCAAACACAGATCACACTTCCAAGTGGGGCGTGGCCTACAAAGTTGTCACCAATGCCCTATGCCTTCGTAGCTGGGAGCCTGCTTGACACCTGTGGGTACAGTACACAAGGGCTCTAGTCCTGTTGCTGTCATTCACCATTATGCTTAGTCCTACGAGGGAAGGGCGGTGTACAGGACCTTAGGTAAGAAGGGCTTGTACTTATCTGGAAGTTTATATTCTAGTTTACTAATAGGTTATATATTTGTAGATTGCTTTTCTCACATTTCCCAATTATATAATCCTTCTAACTCTTGCACAGGAATCCCAAGAAAGGCAGAAAAATCTTAAAATCACAATGTACTAAAGTCATTTGGTATTTTCATGAAACTTAAGTAAACGTTATAAAGAAAGGTGGTTTCCCTAAAGAAGATGAAGCTAACATCTGACACCCCGACTTCTACTCTAAGAACAGCTAAAGCAGAAGCAGCTTACAGGGACTCACTCATGCATGCGCCTCCTTTCTTACTTGTTGTGGGTTGCTTTAATGTGTGCAATTGGGACCTCCTCAAATTTCATGCCTGCCCACCGCAGAGAGCTTTCATGTCCAGGAACTGGAGGGTAAATGCTACAATCAGAAGAAAACATTTGGTTTAATTTCCCAGTGTATTTAAGTAAAAAGAAATACATACATGCTTAAAAATAAAAAAGGTTGATTATGGTGATGTACATTTGTGATCTAAACATGGGGTAGTGGTTGTGGGGGGAGTGTTCAAGTTGGGGGGGGGGCAGCAGGATGGGAAAACTGAATCCACCTGGGCTAACCAGGGATGGACAGTTTAAGATATACCAACCCTGCAACACTGTCCCCAACCCCCAATGGTCTCTAACCTCCCAAAAACTCATATCATATACCAAAATATATCAAATCAAATAGCATAGGCAAACCCTGTGGTGGTTTGAATGTAACTGCCTCCCATAATCTCACAGGGAGTGGCACTATTAGGTGTGGCTTTGTTGGAGTGGGTGTGGTCTTGCTGGAGGAAGTGTGTCACTGTGGGGTGGGCTTTGAGGTTGCCTATGCTCTGGATACTGCCCAGTGTCTTAGTCGACTTCTGCTGCCTGCAAGATGTAGGATTCTCAGCTACTCCTCCAGCGCCACTTGTATGCATGCCACCGTGTTCACCACCATGATAATGGACTGAATCTCTGAACTATAAGTGAGCCCCCTCAATTAAATACTTTCCTTATAAGACTTGTCTCTTCACAGCAATACAAACCCTAACAAGATAAAGCAGAATGGAAACTAAGAGCCTCTGGCTCTGGAGAAGGCTCTCTGTACCATTCCTTCCCACGCCTTCTGGACACCCAGTGTTTCAGGGTCAGGAACACTGGCCTTGACACTGTGCTGCGCTCAGGATCTTTTAGTCTTAGTCTAATTTGCTTGTTGAGTTTCCCTGGGGCCATATTCTTTATTTTTGGATAAAGTCAAGTCCAAACAGGCACAGGGCCAACAATAGAGACCAGGTCTTAGACCAAGAAGATTGGTCTTGGGTCTGAGCGTTGTTCTTTAAAAATTAGAACACACATGTAACTGCCATTCAGCATTTCATATGGGAGTAAACCTGCTGTTTCATTATGCCTACACACCTAAATCAGACTCAGATTTGTACCCATACACCCACACCATGTTTCTACTATGCTGAAATCCATTTTAGAAAATACGCTACCATTCAAGCACCCCCGGCCCCATCTGCTTCTCTAGGGATATTTTCAAAAGCTCAGCATAGTGTATTCTTTCCCGTGGCCTGATTTTAGCAATGACATGCAGCCTCTGTAGGTGGCTAGCCTACCAGTTTTTTTGTACTAAGAAGAAAAGTGTCATGGTCTTGTAGATGACATTACTGTTTCAATGATCATTTCTCCTGTCCCCCCTTTTTTTGTTCCCTATGTTGACATTGGAAGTGAGCAAATACAAGTCTAAGTCTGAGTAAAACTGATACATTTCCTAGTGAGATTTTGAAACCAGGAGCTCGAGCCAAGATCAGGCCTCTAAACTTCCCAGGTTCAGTTGGGCATGGTAGTGCATGCTTGTAATTCCAGCCAAGAGGGTCACCATGTGTTTAAGACCTGGGATACATAGCAAGAGTGAGTCTCAAAGCAAAACAAAACAAGATTGTTCCAGGTAGAAGGTATAACTAATGAGTGATTGATCATCTGAGGAAGGCCCTACAATGCAGAGACAGAGCTTTCTGGAACTAGTCTGGGGAGGCAGTTCATTTCCTAATTGGGGATTTTTTTTTTTTTTTTTTTTAAACTGGGTCTCAATATATAGCTCTGGCTGGCCTGATTTACGATGTAGCCCAGGCTGTTCTCAACCACAGGGATCTGCCTGCTTCTGCCTATATTGTACTGGGATCAAAGGTGTGCACCACCATGCCTGGCCTAATGGCATAATCTTTAAAAATGCAAATACGGCAACTAAAGAATGCTGAGAGTGGAAGAAATAGAGCATCGTGATGGGTAATCCAATACCAAGTGGTCAGCCCTGAAGTCACATCACACTGACTGATCAGGTTACATTTATTTATGAAGCTAGGACTATCTCCCCCAACAACAATGAAAAGAGGCCATAAATCTGAGAGAAAATGGGGATATAAGGGAGGGATCAGAGGGAGGTAATGGGGAGGAGCTCCAATGACGAAATCCTTTAGCTCAAGGTACTTATACAGAAGGAGGAAATTTGTGTGTGTGTGTGTATGTGTGTGATGTAATTGTATTTTAATTAAAAATTTTTAAAAAATGGAAATAAACTGCAAAATCTATAGTCAGGGCTCAGTATCCTCTGGCATGACTACTTTTTCTCTTTTAAAGATTTATTTATTATACATACAGGTTTCTGTCTGCACATATGCCTGCAAGCCAGAAGAGGGCACCAGATCTCATTATAGATGGCCATCATATGGTTGCTGGAAATTGAACTCAGGACCTCTGGAAGACCAGCTAGTGTTCTTCACTACTGAGCCATCTCTCCAGCCCCCCATCTAGCACTACTTCTATATAACTGTTGATTTCAGCAAGAGCTCCAAAAGTTCTGCACTTTAATTTCTAAACATTATCTCCTTCAATCATCACCTGTCCTAAGTCCTCCCTTGGCAACGTACTTCTTGGGATCACAGCCAGCCATCATCATTGAGAGCACATGCATGGTAACCTTGGTTTCAAGCACCCTTGGTTACCACCCCTTTGTCTCGCTATCTTCAGGGCCAGCACTCTGATGAGCCCATCAGCTCTCTATCACTCCACATACCTCAGGCACTTTACCTGGATTAAAGCCTATTGTCAATTCCCCTCTTCATCACTTTCTCCTGACAAAAATCTCAGTCCTTGTTAAATCTACCTCTCTGGACAATCCAAGTCTGTGCAAACACTGCACGGCTGACTGGTCTCTATACCAGGACTTTTGACAGCTGTTTGGGATAAAACACTGCTGTAGGAGGCTGTCCTATGAACAGCGGGGAGCTTTAACTCACTAGGTTCTATCTCCTAATTTATGACCACTAGAGGTTTTAGACACTGCAAAAAGTCCCTACCAAGAACCACTGCTTCATTTTAATGACCTTCCAGCATCAAACAGGCTCTCAAGATGCCTGACAACCATTCTCAGTTCAATTATCCTTCCATTCTCCAGGATGCCTCTTCTACCTTTCCTTTTGTCTCCGTAAACATCCAACCCCTTCCTGTTTCCTTGGGGCCAGCTGATGACCTCTACAGAGAAATAGAATCAATTAGACTTTCCTCCAGCTTCTACCACCAAACACCTGTGCCCATGGCTTTTGAGGACTCTCACAGTGTTCCAGTTTCATATTAGCCCCACAAGGACACTGTTCCTGCAGTGTTCCCACTTCAGAATCAGTCTTCCCCCTGGTTCCCAGGAGCAAAACATATTGTCATGTCATAAACATAAATCAAAACAAGAAAAAGGACAACAAAAAAATAACCTCCACCTTTTAAACCTCAAGTTCCCAAGAGCTTCTCTATTCTCCCTTCCAGCAAAGCCTCCTTACAGAAATGACAATACTTGTTTATCTGCTTTAAAACCAACCCACTCCAATTAGGAGTTATTTCCAACCTTGCCATCAGGAAAGCTGTAGTCAAGGTCACTAACCCACTCCACACTGTTAAAGCCAATGAGCAATCATGCCATCTTTCTGCGGACCCATCTTTTCTGCAGTGCTGAACACAGCTGAATTCCTTACTTTGTACCACACCAAGGAGAAAATCTTGTCTAGCTTTCTTCCTACCTGTCCTGGGGAGGCTCTCTTTCTCTGGTTCTTCCTTCCTGCCTATATTACTTCTACTCCAATGCTAGATGTCTCAGATATTTTTCTCTATTATTACATACAGTGCACAAAGCCATTTTAAAGCCAAGTATAAGGCATCTCAAACGTAACCACACAGATCTAAACTCCAGCAGCCTCTGCCATCTTACTATATAACATTTCCTATTTTCAGTTGTTTGTTGTTTAGGGCCCAGATGTGAGCCTTCATACCTCTCTTCTTTTCACATTTTATATTAACAGACCCTTAGCTGGGTGTCGATGAGTGCCTGTAATCCCAAGCACTCTGGAGACTAAGATGGGGGCAATGCCACACATTCCAGGCCAGCCTAGATTACACAGCAAGACCTTGTCTCAAAACAAAACAAAACAAAACACCCAAACCAACGGCTATTCCAGCAAAATGGATCAAATTCCACCCGGGGCCAGACACCATCATTTTGACCTAGGCTAATTTTATTGGTTTGCAACTGCTTTCAAGTCTTCTCTCAGCTTCTATCCTTGCTCCCTACAGCTTAACATCAATGCAGTGGGCAAAGACTCTATGAAGAGTAAGCAAGATTTCCCGGGGGGGGGGGGGGGGGGGGGGAGGGGGCTAGGATATACTTTTGTAATCCAGGCACTCATGAGGCCAAGGTAAAAGGATTATGAATCTGAGGCTAACCTGGGCTGCACAGCAAGGCCATTTAAAAAAATAAATCAAATGGCATTAACTCTTCCCAAAGCTGGACAGATAAGGCTATGCTTGGTTGCCTGCTTGCATAGGGCCTTTACTGTTGGAACAGTGATGTAAAGCTAACCATACCAATAGTGCCTGGCAATCCCAAGCCAATGACTACAACAGTCACGGATTAAATTCTGTCAGTAGCTGCTTACTGCCTGCAGCTGGTAAAGTGTAAAAGCTCCACAGCCACAGGGAAGTTCTTCACCATTCATGTCCTTCTAGAAGCACCACATATCATGCTCTCTCTGACAGCCTGACTTTCCTGAAAGTTGCCTTTGCCTGTAATGATGCCTCTGATCTTGCCCAGATGAGTTCCTATTCAGTCCGCTTCTGCACTCCAGGGTACCTTAAGTCTTGCCTGACTTCCCCGGGAATGCCTTTTAAATGTCCAACATTCTTACCACTATTTTTCTCATCAGATTATGGTTAAAACATTTGCATCTATGTCTTCCTTGGAAGTGTTACTACTTCAGGGGAGGAATAAATCTTTTGTATTTCCAGTAGCCATTGTACGCAACAGGTAGTAGATTTTCAGTAACTGTTAAATAGATGTTAAGTTAGGTGAAATGTATATGCAGCCTGCATATGAACTAATTATACTCGTGAGACGCAGGATGCCACCAAAATGATGCTGGACCTCTGACGAACTCTAAGAAGTCCAGTTAGTGTAGTTTCTCAAGTCATTTTGTGTTGGTGGAAGAGAAAGTTACTAGTCGGACCTAAAGCCTATCTATCTCACAAGGAAAGAAAACTGGTACTTATTTATGTCTGAAGCTCAGCCAACAGTTGTTAACTCAACAGCTACGTTATGCAGTTCGTTCCTGTCTTCACTGACAACCCCTCTAATTAATCATTATCTTCACCATGAGAGCGCGGAGGCTCAAAGACTGGTTTGCATAGACTCCCCCAGATGGCAAATGACAGTCAGGAATTCACTTTTTCTATGACTCTGGTGGCTGACGGGCAGAAGTCATAGGATGCAAGTGAACAGAAGGCTGGACCCACTTAGCCCTCACCTGAAGCGGCTCGGAGCCGCTTCCTTTTCAACTTCCTTCTTGGCAGCCGCGTCTTCTAACCTTGGGAGTCCAGTGTGGATAGTCTGAGCTGGAGCAGTGGCCACAAGCCTGCAAAGGAGAACTCGGTGAGGGACTGGCTTAACGGTCATTTAGGGGTTCAAGGCAGGCTCGTGAGTGGCCGTGGGCTCGAAAGGGCAACCCTTACCTGGTCAACCCAGGTCCAGCCCAAGGCCGCAGGAGCCACGATGCCGTGTTTCTTACAACCTGCATGATTGAAATTGACTCAATTCAGCTCCCGTTGGTGGCGCCCGGCCTCGCTAGAGTCAGCACCATGAGCATCTGTGGGGGAGCACACAGAAGGGAAATCACCTGACTGCCCTCAAGTGGTACTTTAAGTATTTTTGTCCAAGTTTAAATGCTCTATAAAATCATCTATATGGGACTCTCCCCCTTTTTAATGGCTTAATACGAGAATTGTACCTCCCTCTCCCAGTGGCAATGGTTCGTCCTAATAGGTAACCCTGCCCCCTCGCCGGCCCGCGCTGCCTCACGGGAACGTGGGGTTGGCTGAGGGTCCCGCCGGGAGCCGCGGTACCTTGTGGGAAGGCAGGAAGATGGCGGCGCCCGTGCGGCGTACTCTGTTAGGGGTGACTGGAGGCTGGCGGCGTCTCGACAGTCTCTGGTCAGGTAGCTCGCATTCCCGCCGTCTGTCCCTCGAGGCTGCGCCCTCAGGCAGCCGGTCTCCATGGCGCTTGTGGGGCGCCTTGTGTCTGCAGCGGCCACCGCTGATCACCAAGCCGCTCACCCCATTGCAGGAAGAGATGGCGGGACTACTACAGAAGGTAAGGCAGGCGGGGGTTTCGAGGTGAGGTGAAGGGAAGCAGCAGTGCCCAGTGGGCCCATGGTGACTCTGGTACTTTGTGCAACCATGAGCAAATCGTTTCACCCCTCGATCTTTAGTGACATGTGCAACACGGAAGTTACCTTAATGGGTTGGGTTAGTATATAGCAGGTGCTCAACAGAGTTAATTGAATTGGCTTGTTTTCGCTTGGGCAGTCTGTGTGGATTGTTCCCTTCTTATACATCCAACACGGTAGGGATCCGGTGGTGAACAGGAATCACCTACTTCCTGCAATTTAGGAGCTGACAGATTACAGGAAAGTCTTTGTGATGTGATGGGTGTAAGGAAGAAAGCCTTGGAGGTAGAAGACATATCCTTAAGATGCATATGATAAAGTTTGCTTTGTTTTTTACCTCAGGGAGCAATTTCTGTCAAGGGCAAGTGGGGGGGGGCAAGTGTAGTTGCTGGCAGGGTGTTAAGTCTCTGCATATGGTTCTGAAAGATCTTACCTGTCCCTAGACTCCGAGGGACTTTTGTCTTGGGAATACTGATGTAAACTCTTTTCGGTGCTTTTTGCTCAATTTATTCATATTCATCCCCTTGACCAGTAGTCTTCCCCCCCACCTTACAGATATTCATAGCTCATACTGTGTATAATTTGCAAAGTGATATACAGTTGTGGGTAAGATAGGCACATAACTCTGGCTCCCAGAATGTTCCTACACTGGAATTAGGAGTGTAGTCAGTATGGCTACATACATACATATGGCTAAATACAGACATTGGTAAAATACAGAATACTAGAAGCGTTTTACGTGGAACCACATAGGTTTGATTTTCATGAGAGGTGTCCAGGGGGCTTTCCGAGAAAGTGGTATTTAAGTTGAAATCAGAAGGATGAAAACAAATCTGGGAGAAGAAGTGTCAGGGGAGATATGCTAGGTAGAAGGGATGTTGTAATGTTTTCAAGGCAGGAAAATGCTTGAAGAGATCCTGATCAGAGACCAATAGACCCAGAGTGTGGGAAAGGGTCCACAGTGCCTTGCCACCCCTCTTTTCTTCCTGGCAGTCTTGATCTTTAATCACATTCTGGCTGGGTGTTGGTGGTGCACGCCTTTAGTCCCAGCACTCAGGAGGCAGAGGCAGGCGGATCTCTCTGAGTTCAAGCCCAGCCTGGTCTACCGAGTGAGTTCCAGGACAGGCTTCAAAGCAATACAAAGAAACCCTATCTCAAACACAACAACAAAACACCCCAAAATGAAACAAAAATCACATTCTGACATTTTGGCAAATTTCACCCAAGTTTACTCCAGTGGGCCTTTTTCTTCTTTGCATCTGGATAGTGTTTTCATTATATTTCTGAGTGTGTTAAGTGATGTGCTTCTAAGCCTGTCTCAGGTGCAGTAGCTTTGTGTTTTTCTTCTCCTTTTCCTTTTAAATTCCCCAGGTGGAGACAGAGAGAAGTCTGTATTCAGACCACGAGCTTCGTGCTCTGGATGAAGCTAAGCGACTGGCAAAGAAGAAAGCCGACCTTTATGATGATGACCAAGACAAGCAAGGCGTTATGCTTGTACAAGATTTAGAAGACATATGGGAGCAGGCATTCCTACAATTCAAACCTGGAGCTCGAGTAACAGGTTTGTGACTTCCTAGGCCAACCACAAGGAAGGAAAACTGGGTATTCCAAATGAAGGGCAGTTGCCTTCTGCTTTGCAATTTGATAACAAGTAGCTCCAAGAAACAAAATTCAGAAAAATAACTTATATTTCTATATCTTATACCCCCAATACAATTTTTAAAAGATTTAAGCTGTTTTCTTTGGGGACTAGGTAAAGTGTCTTTCTTTTTCTGTTAAAGCTTGCTATTTATTGTTTGAGTTTTACCTCTACTCTGGATCAGAGAGTAGGAGGAATTAAGTCTTTTCTCCCTAATGCCTATTTTATTAGAAGTCACTTTGAAAGCCGGGGTTGAGTCCTATTGTTCCTGTTTCAAGGATAATGACTAAAGAACAGAGACAGTAGGGGGTCAGTTAGATCTCAGTAATAGTATTAAGTTCAGTTGGGTGGATTGTTGTTTTCTTTTGAATTGTGTGTATGTGTTGCTGAGGATGGAACGCAGAGCCTTGCTTGCAAGGGGAATGTACTGCCTCTGAGTGTACTCTGATTCTTATGTTTGAGTTGTTGCAGGCATTGTTTCTTTTCCAAAGGCTTCAAGTGTACTGTGCTCTTGAGAGAAGTTCAGCTCCGGTTCCAGTCCTTACCTTTCAGTTGAAGTTAGGGTTCTACTTTGGCTATAAGTTCTTAGAGGACAGGGCTTCAGGTTGTCCCCAAAGGAAGGTTCTAAAACTTAAAATCCTTGGTTTGGGTAGATCACAGTCTTTTTTTATTTTTTATTTTTCTCTCTCTTCTGATCATCCCTTTTGTAGAAGCTGATAAAAAGAATGACCGAACCTCACTGAATCGTAAACTAGACAGGAACCTTGTCCTCTTAGTCAGAGAGAAGCTTGGGGATCGGGATTTTTGGATGCTCCCTCAAGTGGAGTGGCAGCCTGGGGAGACCCTTCGAGGGACAGCTGAGCGAATCCTGTCCACACTCTCAGGTAACTTCTTTAACTTCGGAACCCTCCAGATTCATTTCAGGTTGACTGAGATTGGGCATAAGGGCAGAGAGTGAGAAGTTTGATGGACATGAATGAGTAAAATTCCCAGCACTTAGGAAGCAGAAGTTGGGATCTCTGTGAGTTCAAGGACAGCCAGAACTACATAGTGAGACCTGTCTCCCTCCCCCCAAAACTCCCCACTCCAACCGCCCAAAACACACACACACACACACACACACACACACACACACACACACACACACAAAAAACAAAAAAACCCCAAAAAAACTGAAAACCAAACAACATTCTGGCAAGGATTTCCCTAAGAACCAGTGAGTGCTTTATCTTAATATATTGAGATTTTAGTACATTAAACACCAGTCTTAGCCCCCCTCCTCTCCCCCTTTCCCTTTCTTCTCCTTTTGTTTCTTCTTCTCTTCCTCCTTTCCCCTCTTTCTTTATAGCTCAGGGTGGCCTTGAACTTGCTTTAGATGTCCTTGTGGATGATCTTGAACTTCTGATCCTCTTGCCTTCAGCTTGTGAGTGTGGGGATTATATGCTTGAGCCACAATACCCAATCCTTAGTTGACAAGTTCATTCCTGTGCTGGGGGATGGATTTCTAGTTCATTGCCTTAACCACTTAGCTACAATTACATTAATCAGAATCCCCCTTTTTATTTATTATATGTTTCTCATATCAAGAACCTCCATCCCATTCGTTTCTCTGTCCCTTTGTATCCACCCTCTGCCCTTGCAACCTCCCCCCAATTAAATTAAAGAGAAAAAAAATTAAAAAGAGAAGGAAAAAAATCAATCTTATCCTGAAAATTGTAATGTGACACAGTCTTGCAATAAACCCTTTTATACATTTATCTTTACTTGTAAGTGTTCATTTCAGGGTCATTGGCCTGGTTTGAGGCCTCTGGTTTCTGCTACACTATTGAAGCTGGGCCCCTACTGGAACTCCTTGGTTAACCTCTTGTTGCCCTGTGTTGTGGAAATCCTGCAGCTTCGGGTCTGCAGGACTGGTCGCTTTACATGCTCCAGCAGATCACAGATGGGTGGATGTTGGGGTGGGTCCAGGTAGTTGCAGGGTTGGTCAGCCTGCCAGCTCCCTATTGTCCTTGCCACTAGGGTGAGTTCTCCTGCATTGCCCTGGTGACATCACCCCTTGAAGCTATGTGCAAGGGGCAGGGCCAGTTCTGCTTTTATGTCTTCAGGGTTGGCTCTCCCACACTTACACTTTCAGGATCAGCTCTACTGTGTTGTCCAGTACAGGTGTAGGGGCCACTCTCCCTGGTGCTGCAGCTGATGAGGGCCAGGGCTAGTTCATCTGCTCTTATGACCTCAGGGCCAGCTGCCTCAGGCATTGATGGGGGATTATCTCTCTCCTACCCATGGCACCACATGGCAAGTAAATAATGGGGACAGCTCTTCCGTGCTCACAAAATTGAGGCTGGCTCACCCACACCTCTGCCAACATGATTGGCTCTATTGTGCTGCCCAGGCCAAGTAATCAGAATTCTTACACTAAGGAAATGTGAAGTTTTGTTTTTCAGTACTAGAGATTGAGATTATGGCTTTGTAGTTAGAAGATGAGCACTCTACCACTGACCGATATTTCCAACACTGCTTTTTGGTACCATGGTTTATTCACTGATTCAGCTAGAAAACTCAAGCATCACCCTTGACCTCATTCTGATGTATGTATCTTTGGGTCTTAGCTGGTCTGTTCCAAATCATCTTGTCTTTATTTTCAGTTTTAGTGGTGAGGTCCTTCACTTCTCACTATACTATGGTACTATTAGTGTTTGGGGCCAGCGGATTCTTTGTGAGAGGCTCTTCTGTGTACTCTAAGGGGTTTAGCATCTTTGGCCTCTACTCACTAGAAATATTGCCAGTAGCAATATTTCATTCCCACACCCAACCCTACCCCTAGTGTGACAACCAAGACAACAAAAAAAGTCTTTACACATTGCCAAATATTACCTAGAGAGCAAAATTAGCATGGTTGAGAAACAATATAATGGGAATACCAAAAAAAAAAAAAAAAAAAAGTCCTCCCTAGCTTTTGTTTTATATTTTCCAATGTTACTGACATATGGTTTCTGAATAAAGTCCCTTGTCACTTTTTGCAAAGACTTCTTAAGTGTTTTCCATAGATATTCGAGTACCCACACATAGCCTACAAATTCCTCTTATCCTGGTCCCAATTGTGTCAGCTCTTAGTGCATTAATCTATAATCCAAGTTCTAACTCAGTAGAGCCTTGTGTTTCTGAATTAGTGGGTTATCATGCATGTCTCTTGCAGGGCATGCACTCTTCCTTTAGGAAGACTCTGGCTCCGGGTCAAGAGCTCCTCAAGCTCTTGCTTATGCAAAGCAGTTTATTCAGCAAACATTTTCTGTGCCTGCTGTTTTCCAGGCCTTTCTGGCATTGGGTCCCAGTGATGAATTGGGCACTGGGCCCGCTCCATGGCTGCTTATGTTGTAGAGGAGAATATGTTCTTTGACTCATGCCGTTGCACCATACTGGTATATTTACACATTTCATTCTAGATAGAATTTTGAGTTCCCTGAAGGTCAGGATAGACACTGTTCCTCTTTCTTCCTGAGTTCTCAGTAGTATACTCCTGGCATGTAGTAGACACTTGCTGGTGTTGGTTAAGTGGATTTGATGTTAGTGTAGGTACCTAGCCACTTGGTTGGCTCTACGGCCAGGATAAGTGTTCCTAGAAAATGTCAAAAGTTTGTATGCCTCTTGATCCTTTCTCACTAGGGGCTGCATTAGCCAGTGAGAGTACAGGTACCGTGCGATGTGGGAGCTTTGCTTCCCTCAGTCTCTCAGCCATCACATAGGGATTACAGTTGTGTTTTGTGCCTAGGTCTTTGGGTACACATTCTCTGGTTCCCTCACACAAGTGTGTTATGACCAGTGCTTGCTCAGCTCTACCTTCTCTGTGCCTCGTGGAAAAGGGTGATGAACTTGGCCCCACAGATACCAAGTTTCTCTGTCCTGTTTCAACAGTTGGTGACAAGGCTGAATGTAGAAGCCAGCTGCTGTGACTCCTAGATAATGTTAACTGCACTGTGGACTTGTAGGTCCACAGAGGCAACCTGGCACCTGGGCTAGAAAGCCTTTGGCTGGGGTGGGGTGGGGCGGGGGCACTCCTTTCAGGACTGACACACTCATGGGAATCATCTTTAGCTCTGCTAGAAGTGGCTTTTCTGGCCTCCCGTGATTTGGGTGAAGAGGCAGATGGCTGTACCCTAACCTTCCAGTTCTTTCTTTTCTCTTCAGAAAACAGAATGGAAGCCAAGTTCCTAGGGAATGCACCTTGTGGGCACTACAAGTTCAAACTCCCCAAGGCAATTCGGACAGAGCGTGACATTGGGGTCAAAGTTTTCTTCTTCAAAGCTCTGCTGCTCACAGGAGATGTCCCACAGACTGGGAAGGAGGCCCGCCATGTGTGGGCCAGCAAGGAAGAGCTGGGTGACTATCTGCAGCCCAAGTACCTGGCTCAGGTCAGGAGATTTCTTCTGGACTTCTGATGGATGCAGCTGCTGTGGACGATATGCACACAAGTCAAGTGCTGGGACCTCAGGAGCAATGCTGATGCTCATTTACAGGGACCGCCAAACATCAAGTGAAATTCTGAGAATTAAATGTGTTTGTCATTCTGTTGGATTCTTCATGGGGGACAACTGGCTTTGCTATATAGATAGTTAAAGCATTATGTTCTAGTGACTCAAGAACAGAGGAAATTAATTGACCTAAATTCCGAGTTTTGAGAAAGTTTCTGGGCTCATAAAAAGCCTAGTTATATAGCTTCTTAGCTGTTTTTCATTTTACTTTTCCCTTTCCATTTGATAGGAAGGGCAGATCTTCTTTCTCTCTCTCCATTTTGGAGGTTTTATCTTTAGATGGGGATTAATCACTTAACTGTTTAGCACTAGTCATTTGAAATTGTCTGACTTCTCTCCAGCCTATCTATGGATGAGTCATGGCCAGGCCATGATGTACATCAGAGTCATGGCAGCTGGCGGCACCCAGGGAAAATTCTGTCTTCTTGCCTCTGGGGTTGGGGCTTTGGCTGATGAGTGTGGTGTTTGGGGCATCACTCATACCCAGAAGCCAGCATACAAAGCACAAATAAACACGTGCCACAGAGCACAGAGTGCAGGCGACTCAGATGATGTGTCTGCTCTGAGTGGTCAGACAGTCACAGACCTGTCACTCGTCCTGGTTTCCTCTCACACAGACTTCTGGGTGAGCCTGTGAAGTGTGATCTGTTTCCACACTAGATGGTGCCTGCTGTACTTGCACAGGGTCAGGGAACTTGCTTTCTCTGATCAAGATTGGGTTCCTAATGCTTTTCCTTGCCCTTTGCCTCCTGATGGCTTCTCTGATAACTGATGTCCCCTGGGGGAGGCTGGCTCTTCAGGAGCAGCTAGTGGTGCCTTAGATTGGGCATAGCCATAGGGTGAGGGAACACTTTCTGGATTTAGGAATGTGTTGTCTATGAACTGTTCTGCCTGCTGTTAGATGAGTGGGTGCTTGTAACCCAGAAGGCTGAACCTCAGAGTTATTTTCATATACATTGGTAAGAGCCTGTTGCGTTGTTTCTGTATTTGTTTTTATTTATTGTGGTTCTGGGGATCCAGCCTAGGACTTTGGCATGTTAGGCAAACATTCCACACTGCCACATGCTCAGCCTGCAGCCATGCCTCTAGTGGTAAATAGTATGTATGTGGTCAGAACATGATCCAAGATTTCTTTCTACATGTTTGGGGGCAGATCCTGAAGCTCATCCATGCAAATAGCTAGTTCTTAATCTGCTTTAACTACCTTGCCTGTAAAACCAAGATGACATTGCTTCTCAACCAGGTGATGTGATAGTTTATTGAAAGCCCTTTAGCACTATACATGGCTTGATACAAACACTTGGAATGTCCCTCTCTCCATAGGCTCCTGAAATTAGCTGGGTGGTCCACATCTCTTAGAACTCCTCTCACCTTTCCTAGGGTTGTGATAGCTAAGCATTTCTGACCTGTTTGGAAAGGGACATGGGTAATTTGTACATTACTGGGTTTCACTCAAAACAGGAGTGTGGTGGATCAGCTCTATAATTACATCTGGCTGTTAGAATATGTTAGCCTTGCCCTACCCTGGGCCAGGGAATCCAGAATTTCTCTTAGGCTCAGGCTTATGGGGGCACTAAAAGCAGAGCAGGCCTGGCAACCCATTCTATTATCCTATGAAGGGGAAACATGCCAGCTGAAAGGTCAGGAACCCAATTATTAGCATTCCCAGATAGCTGAGCTCCAGGCATACTAGGTGAGATAAAACCCATTAGCCTGAAACCTCAGGTTAGTCACAGCCCCCACCTTTCCTAGTCACGTACACTTGCCTTGGGACTTCAGTGCATAGAATGGGGTGAGGGAGGGAAATGCTGACCATAGCTTCCAGTGGTAGCATCCACTGTGGGTGCAGCACAGGGCTCATTCTGAACATCCATGGCTGCCTCAGTTAAGGGGTCAAACTGGTTGCTCCCCAGAAGGCTAGGGGGTCCATGACTAGTATAGAAATAGAGAAACACATGCTGTATACATGTATGCACACTTAGCTATCCCACTCTGAAACACTGTGAAGTATGTTTGAAGGCTTTGGCAGCATAATCATATACCACTGGCCACTGAAACTAAATCCTCTGCTCCAGTCCCTAAAGAAGTGGCTTCTTTAGGGGAGGCAGAATGTCTTAGGGTTTCTGTTGCTACGAGGAGACACCATGACCATGGCAACTCTTACAAAGGAAAACATTTAATTGGATGGCTTCTAGTTTGGAGATTTAGTCGGGTATCACCATGGCGGGAAGCATGGTGATATGCAGGCAGACATGGTGCTGGAAAAGGAGCAGAGAGTTCTATATTCAGATCAGTAGGCTGAGACAGACATGGGGCCTGGCTTGAGTATCTAAGACTAAAGAAAGCCTACCTCCAATGATACACTTCCTCCAACAAGGCCACACCTCCTAATAGTACCACTCCCTATGAGCCAAAGGGGCCATTTTCATTCAAACCACTACAGAGAGCCTTCCCCTTAAGCTGTCCTTTGGCTCAGTAAGGGGAAAACCACTCTAATGGGTGGACTTGAACTAGTGACTGTGGTGATATTTAGTTTGTGCTCTAACAAAATTTGCCTGAAGATCAGGATGGTGCTAGCCAGTAGTTAATCACAGAGGCCTAGCAGTGGTGGCACATACCTTTAATCCTGGCAATTCAGAGGTGGAATCGGGAAGGTCAGGAGTTCAAGGCCACACTGGGCTACATGAGATTTAACCAGTCTCAGAGAACACAGCTCACACCTTTGATCTCAGCACTTGGGATCTTATGCCTTTAATCCCAGCACTAGGGAGATGGAGACAGGAAATAATATGGCTGGGCAGAGAGAGGGATATTAGCCAGGAGGCGATAGGAGCTCAGCCCTTTTTGGTCTGAGGATTTAGTAGAGATAAGAACTTTATTGGCTGGCTCCATTACATCTCTGATTTTCCTTTACTTACTGACTCCGGGCTTTTATTACTAAGACCAATTAGAATTCGCTCTACAAGTGGCCTTTGCAGGTAATGTGTGATAGGCAGAATGAACACACTGGAATAGGTGCTTGGGAAAACATTTCCAGATAATGAAGTCTGGGGTAGATGAGTGGAAAAACACGTGACCGAGAAGCCAGGTAAAGTAGCTCCCAGCTTCTTTGCTGGTGGGTGGGGTCACATATGTAAGTACCATAGGTGACACAATTTTCCTGGGTGCTGAGGCTGTCCCTGGAGACCGTCACCATATCTGGCCTTTCCAGCAGCTTGCTGAGCAGAGTCCTTGGTGTCTTGACTTCTGGGCAAGGGGCAACTTGAAGCTGGTATATTATCAGTCAGGACAAATTCTGGGTTCTTGTGACCATCTCTGGGTATGTCACAGATGGATGCTGCATCCTCCAGAAGGGGAGCAGATCCATACTCTTAAAAATTAGGGCTACTTGGTGTAGCTCAGACCAGTTCTGCTTGTCCCCATCACCTGCCTCCTTCATGTCAGCCCTGTGTGGCAAGTTTTATTCTTGCCATTCATAGGTCAGTAGATGCTTTTAGGGAGGCAAAGAGACTTTGTGAAGGTTCCATAGGCAACATATGGGAGGTAGCATTTGAACCCAGAGCTATATTGTGAAGCCACGTATATCTCCTGCTGCCTGGACATGCCCTGTTAAATCAGAATTCATGAAACAGTAATCAAGGACCAACCCACTGCAGGTTGGTGGAGTCCTGGATAGGCAGAGAGTCTGAGGATTTGGAGTAGAGAATCATGAGGCTTAAGGGACTGAGATTCTCAAATTTGGAGAAGAGAATGGTAAGAGGCATGGTCTCCTAGTGTGTATGAAACAGGAGGCTGGCTCTTCATCTGAATGAGTAAGCTAAAGACAGCAATGTGAGTGCTGAGAAGGAACACATGGGAAGCCCTTCACACATGAGCGTGAGTTCTTGAAACATTCCTGTGATCCTTCAATAAATATTTGCAGAGGATATGGTTTCACTGCCAAATGCTGGGGATAAAATGGTGATTAAAATACTTGCTAACATCCTTGAGATGGTTCAGTTCTGAGGGGCAGGAAACAGACCCATCAACAAGCAAATGGGAGCGTGTGCCTGGCTCCCATCCCCATGTGGCTCAGGAAAGGCCCCCTAGCGAGAGTCCAAGAATAAGGAGGAGGGAGCCAGGAGAGGACAGATAAGAAATGGACACACAGCCATCTGAAGACACTGGGACAGAGTTCTGTGGGGTGTGAGGGCAGCAGGTGGACAATCAATCCATCTTTGTGCCTTTGGTTCTTAACTGTTCCAAACAGCTCAAGGACAACTGTCTGAAGGCAAAGGGACACATTTCTTGTTCTCACGTGAGTCACATCTGACATGTTGATTGGAATCTAAGTCACATTGCATATTTTGTTAACTGTGGAAATACATCTGATGTGTCATATAAGTTCAACATGGCCAGTGTGTCCTCAGATGATGGGACCAATCATGCTTTATCTGATCAAAGCCAAGTTTAATCAACTGGTTTCTGTTTTGTGGTCTGTGAGACACAGAATACTAGGATCCCTCTATCTGTCAGTCAGGGTTGACTGACTACAGTTTTGTCTCCCCACACCCAGAATGGGATTCTGGCTCTCCCTCCTCTATTTATTTATTTATTTATTTATTTATTTATTTATTTATTTATTTATTGAGACAGGGTTTCTCTGTGTGGCCTTGGCTGTCCTGGAACTCACTCTGTAGACCAGGCTGGCCTCAGACTCACAGAGATCCACTTGCTTCTGCCTCTTGAGAGAGTGCTGGGATTAAAGGTGAGTGCCACCAACGCCTGCCTCCTTGCTCTTTCATGTAGCTTCATGTCTCATGTATCTCAGGCTGGCCTTGAATTTACTATGTAGAGAGTAATGACCTTAGACTCCTGGTCTTTCTGCCCCTGCCTCCCAAGTGCTGGAATTATAGGTGTGCACCCACACTTGGTTATATTGTGACATTAGTGAGCTTATCAAAATGAATCAGAACCACTCTGTGTATCATGAGGTACTCATGATGGACTTGTCTTACCTGCCCCATGGTCACTCCAGAGCAGGGGCAGGAGTCCTT